CAAAGAAACCTTTTCTTACTTGTATACATATAAATGGTGACCAAAATATATGTGAAGTAAGAAAAGGACATCTACCAAAAAGCTATATCACTTGCATATTTCTATATTTCTCCAAGGTCCTTCAAGACCCTTATTTCTCATTTTTAAATTTTTCATTAGAATTATTTTTCTTGAATCTTAAAAGCGTATGTTACGAAGCATTTTTGTCTTAACGTAGAAAATTATTTGTCTGATGGTCTTAAAGTAGTAACATAAATGTCTATATATAGAAGATTCGGCCAAAGTTGAATTTACTTTTAAGTTCAAAGCATATATAGGTCAAAACTCTGGTGCCTAATTCAATGTAAAATTATCTTATATATTAGAAAATATTATTCTCAATATACAAAAAAATATCTTCCTTAACCTAAAAAACAAAATCATCTAAGATTAATAATATCTGTCATATTTTGCGGTTCGGATCGGAATATCCGTCCCGAGGTGACCCGCCCATTGGGCGGTAACGAGGCTTGCCGAGTTACCGCCAATGGGCGGGTGACCGAGGGACGGATATTCCGATCCGGACCGCAAACATATGTCAGATATTTTTTCTTGCATATTCTACCATATTCCATTATACTTTAAATTCTTTATCTTTATTTTCAATGAAAATTAATATCATTACAACCATAACTACTTTCTTACAACGGCGTATGAATTACAACTTCATTCATAACGGTAAAATGACGTCATCCTAATCGTGCCATTGTACAGCACGCGACTCATCTGGAACCCCCCATGCCAGATGAAATTTCCGGCATGGGTAAAACTCACGGAAACGCCAGTCTGATATGCAAGAATAAATATAGAAACATTATGTTACTAAAAATAAAACTAAGATTAAAAATAGAATCATCTGTCTAAATATAGAATATTGTAGTCTAAATATAGAAATAAGCAGTGATGGCCTTATGGAAGATTTTAACCGTGTACTATTTCTCGAAGCAGGGTATAAGCTATGTACAATGTGGAGACTGCGTATCTCTTCAAAAAGCAGGGCCTTGCAAAAAGCACCTGAATAAAATAAAACAAACATAAAAAAGATAATTGAGCCACGTCATGACAAAACCAACATAATGGGTTTGCGACCAGCATGGATCCAGACCAGCCTGCACATCCTGGATCCTGATCAGACTGCGCGTATGCGCAGGCAGGTCTGGATCCATGCTGGTCGCAAACGCACTATGTTGGTTTTGTCGTGACGCGGCTCATATACAAATAAGACATTACACAATGACATAATGGACACAGCTATGTACAGAACCAATTACAGCGATGATGAATATGCATTATGATGTATGATATTAAAACAAAAATTCATTTTCTTCACTTCCTAAACACTTACACTATTTTTGTAAATGTTACGGAATTTGTTAATTTTATTGAACCAATGAAATTCTTTGAACATATTTTCTACAATTCTTTCCTACTTTAACGGTATATTTATATGAACTATTTAGTATGAAAGGCTGTACCATAATGATGTTTTTGGCTTTGTTTTTAAAAGAATATGATATCAATTTAAATGTCAATTTTTTTTATTTATTAAAATATCAACATCTTTAAAAATGTAACACTAATAATTCAAAACAAATATATGTTTAAATAAATCTGTGAAAATTTTTATCAATATTTAATTTCTATACTTATAACCAGTTTAAAGCAGGGCATAATTTGCCATATCAAAATAGCTTTAAAAAGTTTTTCTTTAAATATAATATACCCGAAATACAAATAAAATAAGCAAATATAAAGCAGGAAGACATGTCTATCACGTTCATCATAGTTCATTTTTTTCTCCATATTTACCCTTATTATTAAAGACTTTAAAAAGAAAAAATCGAGAAAAAATAGCATTAAAGGAATGATCCCTTTAAGTAATTTTTTCATGTTACTTATTCTCATAATGTTTTAAGAGATGGAAATAAAGAAATCAATATTAAATAACAGTGCAAGTTTCCTGAAAATGCTAAAAACTACACAACAACTGTACTAATACCAATGTACAACACAAATATGCTGACACTTCAAACACTATCTAAATTACCATGGTTTTTCATACTTCACTTCACTATGGTTTTAATACAAAACATTCATAATTTACATATTAAATATAATGGCACTTAATAAATTACCAGAAAAGAATAACCAACATGATTATGTATAAAAAATGGACATGGGCGATAACATTATTAATTAGGCCATTGTACTACAATAACAAAACTAACAATCAAATATTCCAGACGGTTATATTTTTTGAGCCCTATCTTTTCAATGATTATTATAAACAAACTTGGTCATGGCAAAACAGACCAATGGTCGATATATATCAACTATCATGTTTTATTTAATACCAAGAAATAAATTCTGACAATATTTAGTTTATCCACCAAAGATTAACAGATAAAATCAAATTGGTTGATTCAATAAAAAATACAAAAAATGCCTACCAACAGTATAGACCCTGGTCATATTAGTGGCAAAGACTTAATTTAAAATCACTTTCGACTTCAGAAGGTTATGGGTTAATGCTGAATTATTACCTAATTTTTAAAGAAGTTGGAAAATTATCAAACTGACTAAATTACCTAGGGAAAAAGTGTTGAAAAGAACTCTTAAATATTAATGCTGATTTATTAACAAATGGTTAAGAATAAGTTAGGAAATGCTGAAAATACAAAAATGTTCTGGAATGTTTTGGCAATAGCACTGGTTTTGTCAGGTTACAGGTTCGTACATATTAATAAAAATATTAGGTTTATATTTCAATAACAAATTGTACAAAGGTTGGGAAAATATACTTCCATATTCTAATAAAAAAATATGAAAAGTTACAAGAAGCCAGAAGTCTGAAACTAGTTTGAATGGCTTTAAGCTTTCTGGTTATGCATTAAAAAATTTAAACAGCCAAATTGTTAAGACGAAAATAAAACAAGAAGCATTTCGGAACTGTATGCAAAAAGTATTTGAGCAACTTTCTTTACATTATGTCATTTTCTATATGAGAATCTTGTTTGTTTCTTTAAAAAAAATTGAAATCATATACAGTGGAAAATGTTCTACAGTCAATCAAGTTTTTTTCTAGTATGTTCGATTAATGACTTTTTATGCATCTTAACTAGTGAGAAAGATGAAAACATCCACTGTAAGTGATTACACAGTAATTGTATATATACAATACACATGATTATGGAATGTATATGGTATAATGGTGATGAAAATAATGAAGAACTTCCCCTGCATTATTTGTACAAGGAAAGCATGATAAGCACATAGAGTAGGACTTACAAATGGACGTGTAACATTAAACATACATGATAACTTACTAGATTAATATTAAACTTGTAGAATAAATCTTATAGTAACGTATATATAAAGTACTTACTATACCTACACATGCAATATGAACAAAAAAGTAAAACAAAATGACACTTTTACAAATTTTATCAACATTACATGATACTTATCAACTAAACTAAACATTATATTAATTTGTATTAATATTTTTTGTGCATCAACATGGCTATTTAAGCTATCAACATTTCCTTTATTGTAACAAACAAATCTTTGACATCCTTCCAATGTTGCTATGGTTTGTTATTTTTAAACTTTAAAAAGAGAGTAAAATTTGAGATGAGCTAGTAATCTTGTACTTAAATTTACAATATATGATAAATCAAAATATCGTAGGATTAAAAATTTTTATTTACCATTATTCTTGCAACTGTGAATTAGAAACCCATGAGCAATCTGCAATTTTTATTTCTTGCATATTTTACAAAAACAAAAGGCAGCGTGTGTATAAACAGAATACTTTGTACAAAGATAAAACAAAAGCAAGCTGTATATGACTAGTTATACATGTAATTAGTTTGACTACTAATTAATATAAGGCACGCTATTATGCTTTTATTTTGATCTATTATTTGTCTTCAGCGTGTGAAATCATGTGACATGAAATGGTTTCTTTTTGGTAACCGTTTTACTACAGTAGGTCCGATACCTTTTGACTGCCTGTTACTTTTTAGTTAAATTCATGATGACTTTCTATATTTATAAAGACTCTTTTATATTACTGTAACCCAATTTATATTCGCGAATACAAATTTTCGCGTTTTGCCGATGTCGGACATATTCGCGAATATTAATTTCCGCGTTTTCTTGATTTTCGACAAAAAAATATTCGCGAATTTTAAAGTCCGATTGGGCCGTAAAATCCATTTGCCGACAATTAATCTTCAATTATTTATATTTTGTACCCACAGTTTATCTAGAAAAATCTTTAAGGAATTCAATTTAAAATAAAAAAAAAATACCTTTTCCAATCGGGGATCGGACCCACGCCGAGAAAAATATGTTACAATACAGGCTGTTAAGTTTGACGGGTAAAAATCGATACTAGAATGAAACCATTTTAAATTTCACTGTTTGTAATACCCTTTTGTGATGCTCGATAGGTTTATACCACCTTTGTCTTAACAATTCACTCAAACAATTATTTTATAGGATTCAAAAAACAATAGCCTTTTGTGATGCTCGATAGTTTCCCCACTTTTGTCAAACGATTTATTCAAACATTAATTATCATATTTAATAGTATTAAAATGTGGATGTTTATTTTGATTGCTATATTGACATAGAGTTCTTTTGATATTTATAAAATAGTAGTAGTTTACTTAGTTTGTGTTTTTATTGCTTTATGGCAATATTCATAACAATTCATTAACTTCATAACAGGTGCCCGTAAAATTCGAATATATCCGGTCAAGTACCTTTGCATGAACAACTTCTAAAATAAAAATTTCTCTCCAATTTATTCGCGAAATCGTGCAGACTTATTCGCGCAAACAAATATTCGCGCTTCGTGGCCATCCGCGAATAAAGCGAATATTAATTGGTCGCGAATATTCGTTGGGTTACAGTAGTTCATACAAACACCTCTTGATTACCATGTCTATAACTTCATAAGACACCTTTTTACAACTCTGTCTATAGAATATGAATTTTCAGAGATACATATTTTTAGTTCCTTTCCTTGATATTTACAGAGACACATTTTGACAACTTTTGTCCTTTAACTTCAAAGAAATTTCTAGAAAATTATGTGTATAATTTTCGAATCATGTTTAATTTACCTATAAATTAATTATTTTTACTTTCACCATAAATAGCCCTTACTTCTTGGTAGCTGTGACACTTATTTCTGAAAACTTCTTTCACATAAATCATTTCAGGTGACATGATTCCAAACACTTTCCCTTTAAACAATGTTCTATTTTTAATATCGTATCATAACTACTTTGTACAGAATTAATGTCATTTACTGAAATCCAGTTACACACAACTAAATAAAAACATGTAAAACAGTCTCAAATTAATTGAACTTACATCAAATGAATTTAATTTCAACATTTAGCATTTTCTTTACATCTAGTTCAATTCATATTTTTTACAAAGAGTTAGAGACCACGAAACTTATACCTTGTAAGGCCTTGATTAATGCCTAGTATCCAAATTTCTATGCAAATGTAAAACAATGTAAAAAATGTAAATATCACAAAACATAGACACTGGCAACTTCCCTTATAATTAATCTATTCCCAGCTTTTGATCCAAGTGCTAACTTCTATGTGTTATTCAAGTCCATTTTTATTTACTGCAAAGTCAGAGACCATAAACCTCTAAAAACTACATGTATATGAATTATACAGCTCGTCTAAAACTACATTTCAAAGGTTTAACACAGCTTGTTCAGTGGGTTCACACAATCTTGACAGCACTGTATTAAAACCCTCTAATTCTCCTAAATATACATACTATTTTTGGCCTAAAAAACTATTCATAACTTACAGAGGAAAACAAGTCACTCCTAACCTACACTATAAGCACATCTTCTCCTATGGCAAACAATGGTTTATGTTAAAAAACAAGAATGCCCCATTTAGTAAATTAGAGAACAACTTAAAAGTCTTTTCCTAATTTGAACAAAAACTACTTCTAAAGCAAGCCAGTCACAGCTGCATGAGATCAACGGGGGGTCTAAATCTCAATATGTCAACCAATTGATATCATTATCTTCTCTATAAACATGTATCCCTTTATAATTAGTTCCTACTTCACGTTCTTTAAAAAACAAAAATGTCTTAACAAAAATATTATATTATTTGTGTAGTATACAATTTTTTAACTTTTGCTTTTTATTAAAAAAAGCTGGAAAGAATTCTAGCAAGACCACGACCAATCTTTTGTCCAATAATTTTCAAATATTAATAATAAAATGCTTAATATTATCTTAATTAAAGCTAAAAAATGTAATTTTCATAATCTATTGGAATTCATCATGAAAACTCATTCTTTTTTTATATTTACAGCAAGTTTTAATGCTTGTGACAATAAAAAATGCATGAAAATTGGTTAAACATAATGCAAAATTAATTAACTGTCAATATAACTCAAGGAGTTCTCGTCTTATATGAATCAATTACACATGTGTATATAGAGATTCAACTTCTGGTGTAGGTACAATATCATAGTGTAATGATATAGAGGTGGGGAAATAAAACAAAATAAGCTATAATATTTTTTTTGCATATATATAATCACTTAGAATTCAACCCAGAAATAACATAATTAAAACACTATGTACGGATAACATACATTCCATGCAAGTCCTCTGCTTTACGGTTATGCTAGAATTTTCCTTAATACAATTTTTATTTTTTTTTAAAAATGAGCTCCTTCCGAGATAAATTTTAAAATTATAATATTTAAATATTTTTTTGCATCAACATTACTTGGACCTGATGGAAATTGGAGTGCCTGTCCACTGTATTTGGATGGACAATTTAACCTGTCACTTGTAACTGTTCCATATGAATTTCAATGTATTTTCATACAAATGACATTACTTACATGATTTGATCAAAATTGGGAGTGTAAACATACAAAAAAGCAACATCAAACTTTACCCTCTTAAATTTTTCTAATTTTTTTTTTTTTTGCAAATCAAACTCAAAATGTATTTGTCACTTCACAACATAGAAAATCACACTTCAGCCAGCAGTAGAAAAATGTTCAACAACTTTGGTTACAGCTTTTCAACACTCTCCAAGAGGAAAATCTCATTGCCGGATCATACCCGTCCAATCAGAATCATTGTAACAATCTTGTGAACACACAGACCAATCGTAACAGAGATCTCTAAATCTTGCAACTTAGTTCTTGTCCAATGAAAATCAAAAATCACCTCAATTTGAAATCACATGTCCAATCTGGACCAATCATAGCACTGGTAACAAACTAGCATTAATAACAAAGACCAATCAAAATTCTTGTACTGTATTAAGCAGATCCATGGACAAACTCCAAGATTTGAGTTCATGAATTTTATAATGGTTTGGCATGATTAAATGATTCCCAGTCAAAAGTTTTGGAATGCATGATACATCTTTATCAACAAGTGGTTTCAGTGTTTGAGGAAATATTCATTTTCATCTAAATACTCCTTCTTAGTCTCAACTTTAGTACTATATGTGGGATTGTTTATGTTTTTCTTCTTTTCTACTTTAACACTGTACGATGATATTTCATCATATCTTTTTCGCTTGAAAAATCCACACTGAAAAATAAAGAAATATATTGTATTATTTTATCAAACTAAATCTATACTGGCATGCGAGCAGTTCCCGTACAAAAATCGTAGTGACTTAAACATTATTTTTTGTTACGCTCACTCACCACAATTTGAATGTTACACGTCAATATTCAGCTCGTCACACAAATCATGGAAATTCCATCATGTTCTAAACATAGTATAACCCTTAGTTATGAGGCCTCATATGGGGTACCGAAATTATCCATTTATTTTGTAATGAAGAGAAGTAGTCCCGTACATAAAATCTAACCCATTATAATTATACAATTTTATTATATCGGACCTATTTTCATTTATTCATTTACAATTGTTGAACAGACCATTATCTAAGAGATAAATAGATAGTAATTCAGGAAATAGACGCGTTAGACTAAACGCGGGTATCAACCGTTACCCAACGCATTCACATGCAATAGCATGCTTGCATGCATTATATTTTACGCATCAAAGCCATAAAATTATTATATATAGTAATATTTGGTCAACATTCTGATAATTAAACAAGTTTACCATTGCATTGCCTACTTATTGTGTAAACACGGTGGTATTAGTGGGAAAACCTTTAACAAGCCTCACGTGTAAGTATTTTTGCGCATGCGCACAAGGACGGAATCCCCCAGAGAAAACAAGGTCACGTTTTGACGACGCACAGGTGAAAGTGATTTAAAATGAGACTTTATATACGTACTGCCGAACTGACACTTAGATTTTGTCTCGTTTATGTATCTGCTTGATTTGAAATGAATTTTTGAAGAATGCAAGTAAAAATCAAGCGTTTAAATGAAAAATACGGGTACTGCTTCTGTACGGGAACTGCTCGCATGCCAGTACTGTAATTGTAAGTAGATATCTTCATTGCACTTTGTATCTTTGGAAAAATGCCTAGGAAAGTCAACATTCTCAATATATATTTTTTATTAATATTCTTTTAATAAGACAAAGAAATATAATGCAAAAATGTGAAAACAATCACTGAAAGTAAAACATGATGGTCACGAGTTACACCAAATATCATGTCAATGATTATAATCTACCCACAAGCATTGTAATGGTCATAACTTTGGAAACATTCTAACTTTACTTGCAGATTTATACCACAGGTGTCCCTTTGCATGCATGGGCAACAGAGTAGGACCAATGACCTGTAAACCATCTGAATAGCTGCCTCACATGAGAAAATTGCAGTGAAAGGGTAAGTGATTTTCAATCAGCAACCTTATCAACGTGTCCAAGTATTCCCTCTTTTACACCAATTGTTTTACCTCATAGATTTCATGAATATGATAATGAAGATCAGGAAATGTATTAATAACTAATTTATGCCATACTGTTTCCATGTAGCCCTTTCCGGGTTTTAATCTTTTTATTTATCTTAATGATAAAAACACATTTACATAAGATATTTGTCATGACTCTAGGTCAAATACTCTATTGAGCAACATGTGACACAACATGAGAACGGACAGACGGACAAGGGTAAATCTAAATATAGTGGGGGCACAAAAAGACAAGAAGACGATTGCATAAAAAAAACTTCCTTACCTTCCACAAACATAAGGCAAGTAAAATAAGGACAAAAAGACCTCCAAGCACAGCTAGAGCATAAATCCACCATTCCAGTGGCTTCTCCTTCACAATAAGTAAGCTTGGAATAGCTATAGTTGTTGCCTGTAATATTAGGGTACATATTACAGTAATTTCATATAGCACCTTTGTTCATTTCCATAAAATATGACATAATAAAGCTAAGATTAATATCAAAGAAGATACAAATATGCACACAATAACTTAACCAAAAAGGGACACCGACTTCTTGGTGAGTACAATAGCTCTCCCTTTTCTTCAAATAGTAACAGCTAACAAATTTGAATATCTGACTTGACTAAGAATGCATGAATAATTTGTAAATCACATTTTAACATGATTTATCAGTGACTATCTCTTAAGATATTATATAAATAACACATGGTTTTGTGGGTAACAGTAAAAATATCATCCTGAAGGAAAATACCGTTACCCGAGGCGTTAGTATTTTTAAGAGGGATGATATTTTTACTGATACTAACAAACCGATGAATCATTTATTTTATTACCCCGTACAAATACTGTAATCTATAATTCTTTTTTAGGGAAAAAAATCCCATGTTACCAGATTTTTATAATGTTTAAAAGTACTGTTACCCTTTCTAAGTAACGAGGTCTTGTTTTAAAAGTAAGAATAACTTCCAGTGGCCTATGGGAAATCAACATCACAAAAAAGTGAGGGGTAATAAAAGACAATGTCCCTTGTGATCGAACAAAAAAAGAAATAATGGGGACCTTCAAGCACACTAAATTTTTAATGGCAATATTGAAAATCTTACGAGCTCATTTATGAAAATTTTGGAATATTCTCACATCAATTAAAATGAAAATAAGCATCATTAAACTATCTATGTGACACTTTTGTGCCATAATTCCATCAAAAGTGGACTGTCCACAAGTAAATTTATGAAGACGCTCATGAATCATCAACTTAATAATAAAATCAACAAACCTGATATTCATCATTTTTTGTGTTGCTTTGTACCACATTCAGCTCTGGACGTATATGAATTCTACCAGTTGATTTAATATGTACTTCGTCTACACCTGAATAATCCTGTTTTAAAAAAAAGAAGACAAAAATTGATACAAGTATTAAACATTTTCACCCAAAATTATCACTCGCTAAAACTTTATTACACAATAAAAAATCTAATATAACCATACTACTTAGGTAAGAGAAAAGTATTTTCTATCCATGTAATAGTTCTATTGTTTTTACACTGAATCCCATCATTACTAATGAACCATTCCAAATCCAAACCAGGGGCAATCCATTACACATATTGGAAAGGGGGAGAGGGTATGTCACAATGACAGTGAAAAGGTTATAAAATAACTTTCGGGCTTTTCTGATAAAGAAATAATACGCCAAGTACGAAAACACACCAGAGTTGATTGAATGAACTTCCATAAGGTAGCTCAATCAATCAGACTGAGTGTAAAGTTTGCGTTAATCTCTTTTATTTAAAAGATTATCATTTTTCTAAAACTTACTTCTATTAATGTGCTTTCCCAGAGTCTGGCTCTAATCTGTATTTTCACCTGTTGACCTGAATTCAGTATACCAATCTTACATCTGATCTCGTAACATTTTGCCCGGTTCTTTGCACATTCCTGAAATTAAAATTTATATTTTGAAAGAGAAATGCTGGGGCAATCTCCTTTATTAGACCCCTATGTATAGGAAGAAGTAAAACTTGTATATAATACACTTAAGAAAACAGAATGAGCCTTATATATACTCCTGGTTTAGACCCTGTAGTCTATTAAATGATATAGCCAATGCTGGTTATCTTACAACCAAATATGTAATTTTATTAAGCATTAACTATTGAGAAAATTTTTTTTCCATGAAAGATACAACATATTACTGCACATTCAGAGTTACTTTCCTCAGCTATTGAACATCCAACATGCTCTAAATCCATTGTTCAAACATTATTAAATAAACACCTGCTTGAAATTTCTAAATAATTTAATTAACACATATTTCTGAGGCATAATGTGCCTTTAAGGATAATAGCACAAAATGCTCAGAATAAAACTTACAAATAGAGCAACATTCTTCTTTTCCCGAGCCTCTCCAACCTTCGGCTCATTCTCCCGTATCTCCATAGGTCTTTGATCCGATGTTTCCGCCTGACGTTTTCTACGCTGTCCATTATTTACTGTATATTCTGGCCCACTACTTTCAACCTGCAATAGTTACAAAGCTGTACCTTAGGAATATGTTTAAATTGTTTCCTGGATTTAAAATCTGTGGAACAGGGCCATCAATGTTTTCATGATTCAGTGATCTCAAATCACTGGGAAACATTTTAAGGCTGTTCCTGTAAAACTATATTGGATGTATTACACTCTTTCCTTTGCCTATCAAAATTCTGGTTAATTCTTGTACAAGTAATCACATTTCAGAAAACTAATTATTTTAAGCAAACTTCTATTCTATAATAACAAATATGGTAACTAATTCATTACAAACATGACTGTAACATTAACAATTTTCTTTTTAATTTGGCACTTTCTTTTTTTAAATAAAAAACATAGTATATACAATGTATATCATGCTAATAGATGCAAGAATGAGTAATCACAATTATGATATTTTTTTAATTTTTTTTTTCTTTTTTTTTTCCATAAATATTTAATAAAATAATTATTATTTGTGACTTTCAATATTTACTGCCAAACTTATCTTTAACAGAATAATTACAGATAAATTATTTTATTCACAATCTAACTCGGGTAGCACTGCATTAAAATGTAGTTTATTACTTTATAGGAAAACAAAAAAGAAATAAAGTATACCCAGAAAAAGAAGAAAAGAGTTTACAAAATACATTTACAAAATCAAAAAAAAAAAACACTTGAGAATAAACAACACCTGAAAAATGAAAGTTGAAGAATAATACAAAAGTAAAAAACAGATAAACAATAGAGAAAATTAGAATATGTTACAAGCACAAATAGTCATAAAATATAATAAATATTTAATTTATGATATAACAGAAAAATGGATATTTCAAGACTTAAGAAGAAGAATTGTATTGTATTGCACACAGAATTAA